TTATATATGCATATAATACAACATGTTATTTAAAATATATCATAATTCAAATCCACATCAACACTGGTGGATTCCAAGGATATAAGCCCTATTGAAACTGATGTCCTCAGAAGTGACAGCAGTTAGCTTGGTGAAGATTACCAAACCAAAGGATGCTGGTGAACTATGGAGGATCTTGGGTGTAATTTGTTAAGTTCAGACCCAAATCATTTATGTTTACATCCAATACATTTGCATCAAAAGAGAGTAAAGTAAAAAATCATACAAACCAATAAAATGTATTCAAAAGGTTAGTCTAGTAAGAGGTGAAGGCGTTTCACCTGAAATAATAATCTTGATGATAAGGTATTTAATATCCAGATAAACTCTTCAGGAACACAGACGCCCTGTTACTCAGAGAGGGGTCTGGGGCTAAGAGCCCTGACTAGGCTTTTAGCAGCTGACCCCTCACACAAGCTGTTTGACCTCTCTTTGCCTCTGTGACCTCTGTAAAAACAGGCAGAGAAGTGAGGGTCATTGTCAGAACTGAATGTGCTGATGCTGCAAAACCCTAGAATGATGCCAAGCACAGAACAGGTTCAAAATGATCTGCTAAAAACTGTTCCTACCAGAAGTGATGGTGGTAATTCAGTGACAGTATAGAAATCTACGAGTTGCTACAAAGTACACTTAGAATCAGAAAAGCAAGGGAAAATAACTTCTCTAGAAATTAGAAAAGGAAATACTGAAAACTGAAATACTGAGAACATATACCCACACATTTTTCTTTAGTCATAAAAAAGTACACGGAATGCCACAGGATGTGGGGTTAACTTCCCAAACAGCAAAGTGGTAAGTAAGCTTTTACTTGAAAAAACAAGACTATATAGGCACAGGAAGTCAGCTTATTGGCAAAGAGCTGTTCCATAAGTATTCACAGTATTTGGAAGTCATTTGACGGAATGTGTGTATTTCAGGCACATTTCCACATCATACCTTTCTCACTTTCCTTATTTTAGAAAAGAAAATAATTTGTTTTGAAACCTAATCACCAGTCTATCTAACGAAGTCCTGGCAAGGCTTCAGGGAATGAATTACACACTAAATGTCCTGTCATAATCAGGGCCACCTAGATTTATTAATCTCTGAAGTACCAAGATTTTTCTGAAGTGCTTTTTTCTGTTTTTTTTCCTGTTCACATTAGATAACCTTATCCTGCTTTCAGATGAGGGAAATTTTCTGCAGTTAATTATCTTAAATATTTTAAGTATTACCAGGGTAACTTGATTTAGCTTATCTGTCAACGGTGTATTTTACTTCAACATTTAGATACACATCAAAGTGCAAATCAGAGAGCAGCATGAGATGATGAAACCTGCGCCGTTTTCTACGGAGTCGGCAACATGCCTGCCCCTGGACACGTGTGGTCTTGTCTTGAATGGAATATTATATTGGTGCTATTTCATTCTTCCCTTTTAAACGGAATCCTAGCTGGGAGCTTTGAGAGTCACATCAACGTTCTTAAGTACTATGTATGTTCAACAGAGCCAAGTCCATGTTGGTGAATTCAACAGAACCCTGGACCTGTTTAAAAGGAGGATAATCCTTGAGGGATACATTAAATGGGCCTGTGGAAAAAAGCAACACGGGCATTTGGATGACAGTTGTTTTCCTACAGCAAGGCTTCCTCCACTCCCATGCCATCTGCCCTGGGCCACCTTTGTCACTTACCTGACAGCAAGAACTAATATAGCACACCTGCTATTCTTTGGTCTTAATTCATAGGCAACTCTTTTGCAAAAATGTAGAATCCTATTTCTTCAGGAGGCTGATAATTTAGAGAAGGGTCAAAGGAGGAAGTCATGTCATCAAAAATAATAAACAAGTATCTCTTTGATAGCTAATCTTTTACAAACGAAAAATACTGGTTCGGTATTAAGAACTTAAAAAACCTCTGTAATGTAGAATTGAACAGTATTCTAGTTACAGAACAAACTAGGTGTTTTCATAAAATGTTTAAAAGCTCTGTATTATTTTTGTTCTTAGAAACTTCCTATAAAAACTAAACTAGGTAAAAACGGTTCTGTGCAAGAACATAATTTCAGTTGATCTTTCTCATACAAATCATGTAATTTACAACATGAAATTTATTGCACATCACACTCAACACTTGGGAAGAAGGCCACTCTGTGTTCTGTGTACCAGGAGCACAGGCATCAGCTGGGAGCGTGAGAAATGCAGGTTCTCAGGCCCCACTGCGGCCCCACCGAACCAACCAGTCTCTGGGACTAGAGCCCAGGAATCTGGTAGCTTTCAGATGCTCTCAGGTCTGTTTTAAGGCAGTGACTGGGGGGGTAAGGGAAGTGTATGCCTCAGAATCAAAGGTGAGCCAGTGAGCCGGGAAGGAGGGGAGCAGTTGCATCTGTGTTTTAAAGAAGCGTCACAGATTAACTTGAGGCAGCCTTCAGGTTAAGAATCTATCCTTTAAAAATATTTTAACCAAAATTGTGACAACTTTCCCATTACACTTAACTAGCTTTATCTTCACTTTCTTCCCCTCAGTTGCCGTTGCATTGACTCCAACCCATGACGACCTCAGGTGTGTTAGAGCAGAACTGTGCTCACAGGGTGTTAAAGGGCTGATGTTTTGGAAGTGAATCACCGGGACTTTCTTCCAAGGCACCTTTGGGCGGGCTCACACCTCTAACCTTTCAGTTAGCAGGCAAGTGCACCAACTGTTCACATCACACAGGGACTCCTTACCTTTGCTAGTTATCTGATTTGCTTCACACTAAAGGAGCTCTGGTGGTGTAGTGCCTAAGGCATCTGACTGCTAACCAAAAGGCTGGCGGTTCAAACCTACCAGCCACTCTTTGGAAGGAAGATGGGGCAATCTACTTCTGTAGTGAGACCACCTCAGAAACCCAAGGAGGGCTCGCTATGAGTTGGGTCTGAATTGGCGGCAATAACAACAACAACACAAGTGCTAGGGCCAGATGAGAAAAATAGGTATTTTCACTTTTTCCTATTAAATAATTTCTGACATACCAGTTTACAGAATCTTTCTGTATTCAAAATAATGAAGGTGACTCTCCATTGCTATGTTTTGAAATTACTTCTTGCTAGGTAAAAGTCTCCACAGAAGGCCAACATGGTTTAGTCTCTTTTTCAGTTTGATGCCAGTATGTCTCACCCATCCTACTCCCTCAATGCTGACAGTTGTTGCCTGTATTCTTAGCTTAAATCTTAAAATATTTCCCCAATGGAGGAAAGACCTGGCAGTCTGCTTTCATAAAGACTACAGCCCAGGGAACCCTATGGGGAAGTTCAGCCCTGTCCTACAGTGTCCCAATGAGTAGGAACCAACACAGTAGCATACAACAAGAAGGACCTGTAACAAACCAAAATCAAGACTTCACATGGCGGGTATTTTTAGTGGTGATTTCTTCTGAATGAGAGGAACACGAGAAACATAAACCTTTTATCATTCATTAAATAAAAAAGAAACAAATTATGCCTTAATTGGTTATTTTATGAAACAGACTCTTACTATTCATCAATTAAGTGGACTGACCAGTTGCATTTTCACTCCATATGGTGGCAGCATTTGGAACATTCTTGAAATGTTAAATTGTATTTGGAATTACCATGAATCAATGTCCGTCTACAGGCAGAAAATGGGGAACAAAAACATGAAGAGTCCCTTTGCCCTCACAGAACACGTCACCTTCTAACATACTGATGACTGTGGAGAGAGAAATCAAAGAATGTGCACGCTGATAGGTAACTATGCGTAATTTTGTATTGTTCATGTTCTAGAATGAGCACTGCAAAGTTTTGTTCCCTCATAGCACTACTATTTCACAAAATGCTTTTGGATTTTCCCTCAGAACTCTCCAATTACGTAAGCTACACACGAACACTAGTGTCATTAGCCAATTATTTCCCATGTCACTGGGATTCAAAATGGTTATTTCTTGGCTGAATACCTACTTTATTCATTCTCACTTAGCTCTAGGTCAGAAAAAGAACTGTCACTAACTAATGATAGTCAAAGGAATGTATGACAGGAACATTCCAAAATTACCTCAAGTCATAAAGAACACCACTGCTGGAAGAAGAGTGTGCTTCTCCAGGTAATACAATTCATGTAGATATGTTAAAAAAATCATGTCATGTTAGTCATAATTTATGCATTAGGCAAGCTGTACCCCATCCTTAGAATCATCCAGAAATAAAGAAAATAAAAGTATGTTTTTCAAAATAAGCAAACTGTATTTTCATTTGGGCAACAAAATAGCATAACTGAACTAATTAAATTTAAGATACTACTTTTATCAAATAAAAAAGTTACACTATGATTTTATACACTGTTGAAACTGACTTTTGCTTGTCTAAAGGCAGCAGTAGTTCCCATTTTTTTTTTTCACAGTGGTATGGGAATTTAGTTGCAGAAAATAATAGGACACATTTTTCATATTTCCCTAGATCTGTCTAGTATAAAGGAACTTAAGAGCAGGAAGGTAGAATGAAGCAGAAATGAAAGAACATATTTAGAAACTGACAATAATTTTCCCTTAGAAATTGGACAAATTTGGCTTCTCAACATTTTGTATTCATCTCCACAGGGATGGGTTTCTGTTTTAGTAACCCTAAAAGAATTGGGTGAGAAAAGATGACTACCTGCTGTCAGGGTAAACAGCAAATACTCTGGAAAGAGCGAACAAGAACAGAAGTGCAGACATTCACAGACACACTTTTCACATCTCTCTGAGGAGGGGCGGGGGGCTACACGGCAGAATTAAACTGTGACCAGTGTTTGACAGACAGGTGCTGGTGGGCATCAGCAACACAGTCAACACATCTACTTCCAAAAGGCATGCGGCTTCATGGGCAAAAACAAGACAAGCAAGTGTGGGGGAAGATTAAAACAGAGAAAGGCCATCAATTTGAGAACATTATTTATGTCTAAAAAACAGGGGTTCCCTGAAGCATGGAAAGCATCGGCAGCAGGAGCACCTCTAGTCCACGATCTGGGGAGGTTTTGACGCGGATTCCGGCCACTCGTACACATCTGGCAGCAGGGACTCGTATTCACTCCGCCATATTCTCTCTCTAACGTACTTGGCCTTGTCTTCAGGCTCTGGGTGTCGGAAAGCCATCTTCTTAGCATACAGATATTCTATAACCTGAAAAGTAAAGAAGATGGCTGTGCAGGCTCCAAGTATTACCCTACTACAGAGAAACACTAGTACAATATAGATGGGGAGCTGAGAAGAACGGCATTTTTTTAAATGATGAATAGTATTACTTTGAGTCATTTAAAAAAGTTCAGAAAGTACATGCAGTCTAAAAAATACAGGTGTCCTCTGCTTTTGGAAAGTTTGCTTTATGTCACTTCACTTTTACGAAAGACCTACATTAGTACCTGTTTTCCTTAACCGAAAGAAATCCAGAGGATTTTGGCTTTTATCAAAAAAGGTGAAAAACGAAACTAGCATGCAGCATTTGCCTGGCAGGGAGCCAGAAAAGAGGCAATGCTGGACCTGAGCAGTGAGACAGATGTCGCCAAGCTCCTTACCCGGGAACTACACTCAGCATCTCAGCACCAAGCCACCAGAGCCTTGAACCATGTCTGTGCACATTACATGTTAGTACTAATCTAGGTTCTATGTGTTACCTGGTCTGATTTGTGTAATTGGTGATTTTTTGGGCTCTGGGAATGCTTGAAAATTTTTCCCATATAAATTAATGGTAATTGCTTCTTTGCTTTTATGCCGTTTTGGCTTACGAAAGCTTTTGTAGGAACACTCTACTTTCAGATAGTGAGGGAACCCTGTAAAATAAAAATCATCTGCAATCTCACCACAAGTTTGACATGTTTTAAAGTCACCCCCCACCAAAGAGAATTACTATCATTTTCCTAGTATTTCAAACCCACAGACAATTCTAGGCTCTAGACGGGTCAGTCGAGCAGACCCACTCAGGCAGCCTGCCAGCTCCTGTCCTTCCTCAGAGCCCTGCTGAGAGGGCAGCCCACGGGGCTGTGTATGTCTAGGGCCCTCTACTTCCTAGGCACAGCTGACTAAGCCGTGGTGAAGACTGAACTCAAGGTAAGACTGACGTTTTCTTTCCTAGAATTTGGGTCTAAAGATACAGAAATTATTACAGATGAGGTGTTAAGACCCTAGAACTTTAACGTCAAGTAAAGCTGGGGCTAGAGTTTGCACATGACAACTCCCCATTGATGAGCGCCGGGCTTTGTCTATGTGCTTGCCATGGGTATCCAACAACACTCACAAGAACCTGTATCTATGATTATTCCCATCTTACGTATGACAATACTGAGTACAAGGAGTTTAAATAACCTGCCAGGGTATTAAAGTGAGAGCTGTGTTTCAAACCCAAAGCATCTGATTCTGGAGTCCAGCCCTAAACTAAATCGCTAAGCTAGATTACCTCCCCAACTGGTCTGAGGATTCTTGACCTTTGCAGCCAGGCCACACACCAGGATTAGTGATGAGGACAGTGTTTTCATATGTAAAATGAGTAGCATGAAAAACTTTTTCACAGGATACAGTAAGATCTCAATAAGTCTGTGGTGTCCACAAAAAAGACTGAGGTCAAGCCATGATATCAGAGAGGGCTCCCTTCAGTCATGCAGGAAGTGACTGGTGGCTGTATGGGGACCACAAGTACAGCAAACTCTCCTGCTCATGGAGCTACATGGCAATGACCAGCAGCTACAGGTTAGGGCAGGGACAGGCAAAAGTCTGCACCCCCTGCCCCGGCCTGGTCCCTTATGACTTTCCTAACCCTTCTCTCCTGTGGTCCTTAAAAGGAAAGTCTTAAGCAGGTGGAGAAGCAGCACTCTCCGCCCCTGGGGAAGAGGAGGAGACATGATCCTGGGTCTACGATTCTACAGCCCTGACAGCCAGAGGTCTCCTTCTTTAACCTCATGTGTGACCTTCCTTTTGGACACACTAATGAGTAATCTTGTAACTAAATGGTATCTTCCAAAATCTCCCCTATCTGTAGTATCACTCTCTAAATCCTACAGTTGAGCTCTATTCATCCCGGTCTGGGATCTAAAATCCTCAACTGTTTTGCAATAGGAAGGCACTCAGAATCCTTGGTCTGACATTTGTCCATCTGGGCAAGCTGCCCTTAATGTAACTTTCAAATCTTTTCTTATCCTACTTTCCTACTCAGACCTTAGACCCCAGGTAAACTGGATTTGTTATTCTCTAAACATAGGAGCTCTGGTAGCATAGTGGCTAAGACACTTGCCTGCTAACCAGACGGCTGGCGGTTCAAACCCACCAGCCACTCCTTGGAAGGAAGGTTGGGCAATCCTACTTCTGTAGTGATACTGCCTCAGAAACCCAAGGAGGGGTCGCTATGAGTCAGGGCCGACTGGACGGCACATAACAACAACAACAAACATATCATGCTTTTCCCATCGCCAATCTTTGCATAGTTTATGAGCACTGAAATAATGCTCATAACTCTCCAATGCAGTAACTATCAAAATAAGATAGGAGTAGATCAAGTACACACACACACACATTCACTCACTCACTCTTTTATATATAAATATATAATAGCATGCCAATCTGTTGATAAGAACAGATGGGTTAATCAATACACAGTGCTGGGGCAACTTGTTCACTACTCAGAAAAAAAAGTTTCCCTGTCTTGTATCATTAAAATAATCTCAAAGGGATTAAAAAATTGTATGCTATTATGTATTACGCAGGTGGATGTATTTTTAAGTCGAAGGACATCTTAAAATTCATAAAAAGTGAGAAAAAGTCAATAAAATAAACTTTTAAAGAGTGGCATGACAAAAAAATCTCATAAAGTTAACATAAACGATAAATGAAAAATCTGTAACGTAACAGAAGGACCACTACCCTGACTATATAAAAAGGCCTTATAAGTCAATACTAGAGAGTGTAAGGAGGTGCTGGCAAAACTGGATATCTATTTGCAGAAAAATGAAACAAGATCCTTACCTCACGCCATACAAAAAAACTAACTCCAGATGGATCAAAGACTTCAACATGAAACCCAAAACTATAAAGTTCATCAAAGAAAACTTAGGGGCCCTAATTCATGGCATAAATAGACTATCAAGTATAACCCAAAATACACGAACAGCAAAAGATAAACTAGATGATTGGGACCTTTTAAAAATTAAATTCTTATGTGCATCAGAAGACTTCTCCAAAAGAGTATGAAGAGAACCCATAGGTTGTGAAAAAATATTAAGCAATGACATATCTGACAAAGGATTTATCTCGAAAATTTATAGAAAATTCTAACACCTCAGTAGTAAAAAGATAAACAATCCAATTAATAAATGGGCATAAAGACATGAACAGACACTTCACCAAAGAGGATATTGAGGCAGCCAGCAAACACATGAAGAAATGTTCATGATCATTAGCCATTAGAGAGATGCAAATCAAAACAACAATGAGCTACTATCTCACTCCAGCACTGATAGTAAGGTTCAACAAGACAGAAAATAACAAACATTGGTGAGGATGTGGAGAGACTGGGACTCTCAGACACAGCTGGTGAGACCATAAAATGATACAACCACTGTGGAAATATGTGTGGCGTTTCCTTAAAAAGTTGAAAACAGAAATACCATTTTGATCCAGCAATCTCATTACTAGTTATATATCCTAAAGAAGTGAGAGCCAGGACACCCATGTTCATCACAACACTATTCACAATAGCAAAAAGATGGAAACAAACTAAGTGCCCATCAATCAATGGAGGAATGAATAACCAAACTACGGTACATACACACAATGGAATACAATGCAATATTAAAGAATAATGTAGAATCTGCAAAACACCATACGATGTGGATGAACTTAGAGGATGTTTGCTGAGTGAAATAAGTCAATCACAGAGGACAAATACCGTATTAGTCCACTATTGTAAAAAGTCAAGGTAAGATTTACACATGGAAGGAAACTTTCTTTGTTGGTTACCAGGGATGGGAGAGGAGGGGAAGGAAAATTCCTATATAGGTTGAGGGGGGGAAAAAAGGTATAAGGACAAATATCCTATTTAATAATGAGCAAAGATCATGAATAGGCACTTTACACAAGAAATACAAAAAATTATTCAATCTAACTAAAAACAAAATAAATGCTTTAAATAAAAATGATAGATAATTTTCACCTATTAAATATGCAAGATTTTTTAAAAAAATAGCTTTAAGTATTTAGCAAGGTGTGGGAAAACAAATATACTCATACCTAACTGGTACAATGTAAGTCAGTACCTTTTTTTCTAAAGAGACATTTGGCAATACGTGTATGTGTATGTGTGTATATATGTATACACACACACACACACACACACATCAGAAGCCTTAAGCACATTAATACCTTCAGTTCTTGCCATTAGGAATTTATCTTTAGAAACAATAACCACACATGCCCATGAATATTTACCTCTAAGGAAGTTCATGAGAGCATTATTTCTAACCATAAAAACTAAAAATACGGAAATGTCCAAATACAGAAATTGTTAAACAAATTATAGTTTAACAACAAAGATAATACCATGCAACATTAGTGAGGATAGTGAGAATAACTACTGACTTACATGGGAAAAGGTTTATAATGTATGAAGTAGAAAACACAGTGTGAAAACGATGATCAAACAGGCACAGGGGACTGTGCATGTGTGAGTATGGACATTGTTCATAGTGGAAAAAGGCTAGACAGCTGCAAACCCAAAATATCAGTGTTTAATATATTTCTACTATACTGGCATTACCTGTAAGTAACAAAATCATTAACATTTATGAGAAGAAATAGATTATGACTTACTTTAATAGCAATGTTAATAGAAACTTCC